TCTCGGGGTATAACCTAGAGGTAGGGGATCTCGCCCCGTCACAAGAGTAGGTTAGAAGACCGGAAGAGAAAAACCAATAAATAACCTTATAGAAGTCATAACACATTTACCAAGGACTGAAACAAACTACACAATTTACATGGACACATATTTTAGAACTTTTCACTTATTCCTATGTCATTATATTTGAATTCTCAGCTACCCAGCCCTGGTCAAGCAACAGTGGGCTATCTGGACTGCTTCCAACTGTTTGCTACTATACCTGAGGTTCAACTAACATCTTTCTTTTCATTGTTTCCTTAAGATAAATTCTCAGTAGTGAAATTAGTTGGCAAAAGGTGTTAACTACTTTCAGGGTCCTTAACGTGTATAAACTTCAGCCACAGTAGAGTTCCCAGCGAGACAGGGGATATGGGAGGTGTCTCCCCTCTGCCCTCAAGTCAAGACGGGGCAGCCAGGCTCGATGTGTGTCCATCGGGAGGTCACGGTGGGGCAGCGCTTGCCTCCAGGTGTGGGCCTGCAATCCCCCAGAGCACGGAATGTGAGTATGTCCCCAGATGGGAAGTGAGCCAGCCTGGAGCCTAAGAGGACTGCCTAGAGAGGCGACGGGGCGCCAACAGAGAAATTCTCCTTGGAGGAAACTGCTTTTACAAAACCAAGCGCTAAAGGAAAAAGTCCCGCTGAAAGAAAATGCACCTTTCCATCTCGGAAAAGTACAGCTGAGTGCTGGGGAAGGAGAACAGAGTGGAAGGGAAGGCTGTCTTCAGAAGATGCATGAAATGCTGGAGAGACAGGGACAGGGACAGGGACAGGGACGGGGGAGGGAAGGAAGAGGCAGAGAGAGGACCAAGCTTTAAACTCAGCAAAGCTCAGAATGGGACCTTAAGACGGAAACTGTCTTTTGAATCCAAGAAAATGAAAACATACATCCACACATAAACTTGTACATGAATGCTCAGAGCAGATTTGCTAAATGAAATGAAGTCAGTTACAAAAGACCACGTATTACATGATTCCATTTATATGAAATGTCTGCAACAGGCACATCTATAGGGACCGAGAGTAGATTAAGGGTTACCTGGGGTTGTGGGGAGGGGATGGGGAGTGACTGCTAATGGGTGTGCGGTTTCTTTTTTAGGGTGAGGAAAAGGTTCTAAGATTACATGGTGGTGAGGGTAGCACAACACTAAATACACCCAAACCGCTGAATCATTCACTTTAAATGGCTAGATTTTATAATATGGGATTTATCTCAATAAAGGTGTTATAAAGCTTTGAACCTGTCATATAAGACCATTCCTG